TCGATGAATTTAGTTCCTGTCTCAGATCTTTGTAGAGAGGAAGTGTTCCTCGTCTTCTGATTCATTAATATTACAGTATCTTCCTCAGTCAATTTGAAGGTCGTGAGCACTGAGTCTTAGCCTCGTAACTGCTTTGCACTGTTCTAAATGCGGTGGTTACTTTCAGATATAGTTATGTAAAACACGAGGAACGGATGCATATCTTATGCAAAACACGAGGAACAGATGCATATCTTATGCAAAACACGAGGAACAGATGTAGATATGGTATGCAAAACATGAGGAACTGATGCATATCTAATGAAAACACGAGGAACAAATGCATATCTTATGCAAAACACGAGGAACAGATGCATATCTTATGCAAAACACGAGCAACAGATGCATATCTTATGCAAAACACGAGCAACAGATGTAGATATCTTATGCAAAACACAAGGAACAGATGTAAATGTTGTATGCAAAACACGAGGAACAAATGCATGTTATAAGGACTTGACTGATTGCTAGCATCGTCTATCCCCCATACCCTGACGTAGATCGTTCTCAGGCTGTATACAGAAACATTGCTCAATACGGCGGCGTTAAACAACACTCACTCATTCATTCATTTTGACCTAGACAAAAGTGACTGAAGGAGTTATAAGAAGTTGTATGGAATTGACAAAAACATCATTTAATTTCTGTACTTTGGACAAGATTTGTGATTTTCGGTCGTGACCTTGGAAATTACGCTAATTACTCCACCATTGTTGATGTGATTAGTGCGCATGCGTGACAAGGGTGTTTCGTGATAAATGTACCACGTGGGTACACACACGCTCGACTGTGTGTAATTATCTATACAGTGAGATATAGCAGACCGTTATCGCATTGTAAATGTGCCACTTATCTTGAATAGTTTCCCCTCAGCTTCATCTTCTTTATTGTTCACAGGGAACTCGGGATTCCTATCTTCAACCCTTTTTGTAATTGCACACACCAGGGATTCTGGTACACACATAGCTTTGGTGTAGCTCAGTGACATCTATATATGACCCCCTTCTTTAAACACCCCCCCCCCCCCCCCCCCCCTCCCAAATAGTAGCCATCCCTTTTGTATACACACGACCTTTATAAACACTTAAGACAACAACAACAACACAGAGAGAGTCACAGTTTCGCAGAGTAGACCCCTCTTCAAAGCATACCGTGTCAGGTTCTGATAGCTTTTATGAGTGAGTGAGTGAGAATGGTTTTAGACTGCTTCTAATACGACCGGGAACGCCAAGAACAGACTTAAAAGACTGTACTTATCGAAATGATCACGACTCTTCGGTGTGGTGAGCCAACGATTTGACCAGTAGCCACTATCCTTCCCACCGTACTTCTTACAGCAAAGTCTTCAGTCTAGACTAACATCTAGTCTCTGAAATGAACATAATTTACAGAAGAAAAAAAAGTTGTTAAATTATAGTTATAGATATAATAGAAAGGAGCCCAGGGACTTTCTTCAGTATTCTAGACTTGCATGGGCTGTATTGGATATATTTGTTTCAGGTCCTGCACCATCAGTATGGAATATATATATATTTTCTGAAACCAAAACCAATCTAAAATTATAAAAAAAAAGTCTAGGCAGCTCTATTCCACATGTAGGCAGCGTCAGGAAAATATGTTTTTTGGAGGAGAGAAATGTGTTGTGTAATAAAAATAATTCAGACTAAATGTATATGTTAGTCTATGGAGTTTTATTTAAACTCCCGGGCAAAAGAAAGATAGACGCACTTGAAACTTGACCTCAAAAATAACGATCGAACGGTGGTATCAAAACGTTACGAGGATGAAAACTGCCACCAAAACAATGCAATGAAAACGTAAGGCCCAAAACACAACTATGACAGGAGTTTCAAATACATTACCATCGAATAAACATTTCCTGTTTGTTTCATTCTTGACCACCATTAAACATGGGCGTATATTTTCTTTTGCCTGGCACTTTAGTCATATACACTGCCTCTAACATACGTTTGTGCGGGCGTGCGAGCGGGCGGGCGAGCGGGCGGTAATGTTTTCGCCCTACGGGTAATGTGTTTAGAGCATATAGTAAGATATGCGATTATATACATACAGTAAACTACGGTTATAACGAACACGCTTATAACGAACTGACCGATATAACGAACTTACTTGTTAGCCCCGGCCATGTGTTGCATATATGCTATATATGCTTATAACGAACTTCGGTTATTACGAACTGAAATGGGTGGTCCCTTTCAGTTCGTTATAACCGTAGTTTACTGTATATCGTTAAACCCCTCTCACTATTTCATAGAAATGAATTTCTACATTTGTTTTAAAAGTACCTGATGTCGTACATACCGTGTTTAAACGAGGTATAATTATACATACTGTGTTTGAATAATAAATACTGTAGTAACCATGGTAACACGGGGTAAAATTATACACACTTTATTTATGTGGTGTAATACTAGTACTGTACATACTCTGTTTAGAGGCGGTAATAATAGTCATACAGTATATTGACTGGTCAACACTACAATTACACAAATTAGTTTCAAAATCCATTTCAACAACATTATCGTAAAATACTTCATATTCAAACAAGTAAGACCCACCCCAGTGCGTGATAATCGGTGCATGCTAAACCATATGACGCGCCTGCAGGACGCCTGACATGTTACATAATGCTGGTTCAACCGAGGCCTGTTTTCAGCCAGCCATCAACACTGATATTATCAGACCAGCGCCCATCTCTGTATTTGTCAGAAGATGGAAATGAGCCATATCAGAGACATTTCTCCACTGATACCGCTGCGTATCGCCATTACAAGGAATGCTTTCTGCCTCGAACGATGGTCAAGATGTTTATCACGTTGAATGCTGCGATTGTCAGAGACGCGATGGTTGGCCTGCTGGTGTGTGTGTTATGTATAATAGAAACCATGTGTTGGATTACACAGAAACACGGAATATTATCATGTAATCACCGTATGTTTCACAGAAGTCAAGACCGCTATTCAGACTTTAATAATCATAACCCTGGAATGTGTATTGTCGTAACTGCGTTAATGGGTGTCAACCCTACAAATCGGCGAAGATCCAGGTTAGAATAGGTCTTTAGCAACACATATAAAAGGCGAGGCGACTAACGGGATCGGGTGGTCAGACTCGCTGACTTGGTTGATGCATGTCATCGTATCCCAATTGCGTAGATCGATGCCCATAATGTCAATCATTGGATTGTCTGGTCCAGACTCGATTATTTACAGACCACCGTCATATAGCTGGAATATTGCTGAGTGCGGCGTTAACAAACAAACGTTAGTCGCCTCTTACGACAAGCATAGTCGCCTTTTACGGCAAGCATGGGTTGCTGAAGACCTGTTCTACCCCGGATCTTCACGGGTCTGACCCGCTTTTGAGTGGTAGTGGTAGTGGCAGCCGCAGTGGCAGACACTTTGTTGGAACTTTCTAAAATACTGAACACCCTGTAATTTATAGCAGTAGCAGCAGTTGAAGTTCGGTGATAGCTGGAACTGTAGCAATATTAATATTAACAATAACAATAGCAATAACCTTAGGAGCAGAAGTAGCAGTAGAAGTAGGTGTAGACATATAAATAGAAGTACGAGTAGCAAAAGCAATAGTAGTAGGGGGATGTGGAGGAGCAGTAGTAACATCATCAGCAGTATCATCGTTATCATTATTATTGGTAATGGTAGTGGCAGCAGTAGTAGTTTTGATTTTTTTATTCAGCGCCCTGGGCCTTGGAACGCCACCTGGCGGTTGATGGATCTGAGGTTTACGGGGCTGCTGCAGCTGACAGAGACATCACCGACATCCCACAGGCGGCTGTCCAGTTCACCGGCACCGCGTGGTCAGTGGCGAGATAACGCTTGACCACTTGTCATCACTGCTGATAGAAACTGATACTCCTTGTTCCTGAAGTGACACTATCTGCTGATTCTAAGGTGCTATATTCTAACTAAGAATGATTAAGATACCAATACATTCAGAACAGTTGAACAGCGTCGCTTTTGAAAGTACGAAACCCACGTCAATCTGCTCTTTCTAGATTTGTGATCCTCGTGATAATAATAATGAGGATAGAAATAGTGTCAGTGTTGGAACCCGTATTACCTTGCTTCTCTGTGACGGATCAGAAATAAATGAACAAGAATTTAAAAATTCCACTCAGCAAGTATGCAAGGTGAGTCATTTATGATGGTATGATTGATCAATCTCATACTGAATTAGATATACTTGTAAAGGAATACATACAGTGAGAAAATGTCATGATTAACATATAAGCCTTAAAAGTTACAAATAAATAATTGTTATTTTGCGTATTGGGATATTTTCAAACAATACAGTTATATATCAAATTCGGTATTTGTTTCAAATGTTTTCAGTATGCTTCCTAATGCTTTAGTTTCAGGCAGTCGACACGCCGTTTACAGAACTCTTCAAACTTTATATGGTTGTTATGTCCGGGAATAATGACGCAATCTCAATGTTCCATAAGTCCATAGTTACCATCTTGGCCTTGGATGTTGGGGACGTCTCAGAGAAAATATATTTTGCACGGCACTTCTTAACCTACAAACAAACTTGAACTCTAAAAAGACAATCCATAATGTCTTGCTTTTGTTATACTCCCTGTTAATATCAGTATAAATGACTTCAATATAACAACGCAACGAAATATTATATTCGTCATCAGAAACATTAATGAATGAATTAAGTGAAAAGTATTAACTTAAATCTCTAAATTGATTTTCTTCTATGTTAATACTTTGTTATTGCAAGCATTCGCAATAAATACCACTTATCTTGACATTTTGAAATAACTTTTTGATATTCCCCAAAGTACAAAAAAGTCATGTGAATGTTTGTATTGGTCTACGGCGGTTACTTTACCAACAAACTCGCTTAGCACAAGGCTCTTTAGAGTGACTCCCCCTTTGTTTACAGTGATGCATTCTGGTATAGATATTTCTCATGGCGGCCTCTTAGAACAGGATTTGACATGATTTACACATGTCGAATTATATAATAACTAATTAAGAAGACACTTGTTGTTTCCAAAAGTGAAGGTATTTATAATTTGATGTCTATTTTGTCGGTTAGTGTAATTATACAAAGTTTCTTTAAGTGGATCGCCTATGTGCAGTTATTTAATAGCCCTGCATTTCCGGACAGTAGCAGATCTAGCATTGACAACCATCCACGAAATGTAGTTATCTCCAGTACATTGCCTGAATGTCCTATCATCACTTTGGATTTCAAGGCTGAAATATGGTTAACCTTGGGTATTCAAATGTTATCATCAATTCCACGTTAGCATATTGTTACAATGTCATAAAAGTAGCGTTGTTTGATGTGACCGGCAATAATAAATAATAAAAAAGTGCTAACATCACCGCCCCTCAACATGCAAGGATAAGTTGCTGTTTACCCACTGTAGCGTATTTGGTTTGGTAAATGTGTATGTTTGTTTGGTGCTCCTACTATAGCAGCATTCAAAGCAGTCATACTTAAGACACTGTGCTTACATTTGTGTAGTATACTGTCCGGCAATGTCAGAGATCCATTTCAATATATTTATTGCCAATAAGAGTTTGTGTGCTAAAACCTGGTTTGAAAAAGATCACTGCCCACAGAACATTACACTACTGCTTCTATGAGAAATACCCAAACTCCAGAGTGAAGGAACCAATGAATGTAGGATGGTACGCTATATTATCACCATAGTTAATTTATAATGGAACGCAAAGGTGCACGCTTACTAACGCAACATGTTTCATTTTTTTATGACCTGTCAATTAGGATTGATCAATGCTGATTTTCTTTACAAAGTTTTGTAAACAATTTACCTATCAAGTGACTCAAGGGCAGGCAACTCTATATTATCGTGGTATGGCTATTTTGTGGTGTGATATGTGTGTATTATGTGGTTTACATCACTTCCTGTTTTGGATTTGCATACTCAGTATGCATACGGCCTAGGCTAGGTCAAGGGACTTCGTCTAAACAAATGGGTTCTTTTCTTACCAGTTTCAACTGGAGGTAGGGGTAATTCCACTTCAAAACCATTCCAGAAACATTAAAAAGTTAATGTGTAAACTTACGAGTCGCTGTGACATACCGCAACGAGTCCTGTATTCAATCAAGAGATGAAATATCGTGCTTAGATTTGCATAAGTAAACAGTCGAAGGGATGTGGATTACAAGATTTGCTGATACCGCGATAATATAAAGCCCACGATAATATAAAGCCAGCAATAATATGGAGTCATATTATACCACCTAGACTGAATATGATATTTGTTTTCATGTGTGTAACAGTCCCATATACCATGTATACATTGACAAATAAGGAATCAAAAATGGTACACACATTGTCCAAAAGTAATTCTGGGTGTGGCCATGACCAGCTGATGGAATAATGCAAGAGTGACTGCAATGGTCTGAGGGTATCTTCCCACTAGTTACACGTCACATTTGTCACACACCTAAAAACAACATAGGTCATGGCGGAAGGCTGTTGTACTGTTTCCTTTAGTCTGAGTTATGGAATCTTGCACATGCTAATTACTTAGGACTTTTACAGTACCTACACTAGTATATATGATGAAATTAATGCATCATTGTACCCATATATTGAACCTAGGATGGATTTAATGGGAGACTGCACCATAATCTAGAGCCCATTTCTGTCTTGGTGTTGACATTGTAATAATGTCATGTATGAAATTAGACATTGTCTCCATGTAATTATGGTAATTATTAATTGTTAGAGTATTATGTGTCATACTCATTTTAGTAGCAAACACACAATTGAGGTGAGGTAAAATGGGGTTTAAGGCTATGTTCAAGATTATTGCACTTACATAGTGACGTGTGTGTGGCTGCTTGTCCTGGTCCTGACTAATGCCGGTTTTATAGTGGTAGCCCACTGAGGTACCATGCCGCAGTTTTAACATGCATACTCCACTCATTCTACTTTTAACATCTTTTGGCTTGATATTCCGGGGTTTGAACCACCGACTGTCCGCTCTCCAGGCAGACACCATATCCACTGGACCATGTAGGCACATAACGTAGTGTTTGAATGATTTGCATAAATATTTTACTAAGATTAGGGGTGACTATTGGTCTGGAAATCACTATTGCGATAACTATTGATTTTGAAAGAAACTATTGCGATAACTATTAATATTGCAAGCAACTATTGCGATAAATATCGATAGTTTTCAGTGTATCATTTTAGATGTGTTTTAGAGTTGAATTAAACCTTGGAACTGAAGTTTCCTTTGAATGTGATAACCATTACAACGAATAAAAAGTAAAGTCTGAGATATGACTGAGTAGTTTTTTCTTTACCCTAATAATCTAAGAAAAAGAAACTTCCACATTCCCATGTGTAAATTACTACCACCCATGATCAAAAGAAAAACCAATTTGAACAGCTTTGCATGTATTTTATTGATATGTTAACTACAATCGAAACTATCGATATTCCCAACTGAAATCGATACTATTGATCGGAAACTGATTTAACAATCGATTTATTGACTTAAAGTGCTTACCAATAGCAATATATCGATATTTTGATTTATCGTGACACCCCTAGCTAAGGCTACCAGTTGTCTGAGTCTAGTCTCCCGATTAGATAGGATAATATAAGTTTTTGCACGTTTTTGCACAGGCATAACTTTCATTAGATAATGAAGTGCAACACAAGTATGTTGTCAATAATGCAACACTTCTATGTTACAGTCATATTTTTTGTGTGAGTTTCCTGTACAGGGCATGTGCACCTTTCAGATGGTGTAGGTCAGTAAAGCCGAGGGTCACTTCTGTCCTGCAGCCATGAAGCTGGACATCGATGTGTTGGCCTCCACCAGCATCAAGCGCAGGAAGCCATGGCCACAGATTGTCTGGGCGGGGCAGGTGAGTGGATACATCAGCATCATGTACAGCTAGCATCATACTTGAAGACATGCAATGTACAATGGCCCTAATTATTATCCTAAATATCATGATTATATTACTGACAAACATATTAATGGTCAGTATCTTGTGTCATCAACATGTCACAATGGAATTCCCCTGTTCATCGCATGCACAACTGCATTAAGATCTTTGTTCTCACTTCTGCTAAGTAAAGATCTGAGGACATCCAATTACAGGTCACGTCACAACGACCTTTCACAAACTTTGACCACCCAATGAAATGACTAACAAGAAGTTGACATCAGCCAATCTGAAATCAGCTTTCTCAAGCTTTAAGGGGGGCAGTCGGGTAGTCTAGTGGTTAAAGCGTTAGCTTGTCACGCCAAAGACCCAGGTTTGATTCCTGACATGGGTACAATGTGTGAAGCCCATTTCTGGTGTCCCCCGCCGTGATATTGCTGGAATATTGCTAAAAGCGGCGTAAAACCATACTCACTCACTCACTCGAGCTTTATGGCACCAGTTTCAAACTTTCGACTTCCATTTCAGATTATGCTTGAAAAACATGTTGACAATGTTCTTGATTAAAAATGTGGAAACTAAACGAAAGAACATACTAATAGATGGCCGAGATTGTATGGCAGTACTTCCAAAAGGCTATGCAAAGTCTCTTCCATTGAAATGTTTATCCCACTGAACAAGAAATAGACAATGATTTTGATGGAATCGGTCGTACAGTCATAACTGTCTTTCGGAATACGCCATTTTAAACTTTTCAAGGTTGCATGATTAGAAAACACATTCTGGCTGTAACTTCCTGATCTGGTAAGCGATGCTCTGATTGGTCAGATGAAAGTTCGTTCTGACATGACCCGTAATGGGATGTCCTAAGATCTTTGGTTGGTGGTAGTTAGAACTAAGATCTGATCTTAATGAGATTGGTGTACGCAACACAGTTTAGTAACTAATAAGAGCTGATTCTGTGGACAAATATGCAATGCCATAAATATGCACAAAGGTGATCATCACTTAATTGGCTGCTGAACATATATTGTTTAGTTAATAGTATTCAATGTGAACAAATCTCATTTAGAAATGTATATAGCAACCAGCTGAAAACTTGATACCAAATTAATGTAAGCTGTTGGTTTACGTATTAGCAAACTCACCCAATACTTTAAGGAACGACACCAGCTGCAATACCACAAAATGATCTGACTGTGGCAGCCGGAAACAATGATTACCAGGGAATATATTATTCCTGATAAAAAAAATAGATACAATTCAGATACAATTTTTGCGATCCTTGCATTAAAATCCTGTAAAGTTATATCATTGGGTGTGTCTTGACTGAATCACCGGTAGATTCCAAGAAAACGTGTGTACAGCTGATTGCTGATACACAAGGTAATCTTAATCCCTGGATGGAAAACAATGCCTAGCAGGACAAAAAATACAAATTAAACAGTAAATCAACATGTCTGGTGATTTTTTATCTCAAATTTCGAATTTGTACTGACCAAGTTTCTCATCACCTGTTCATACCGGACTTTGCTGAAGGGGTACGGTGTAATTTTTTTCTGCGCTTGATAAGCGAATTTTTTTTTTTCCCAAAAGACTGACTCCGCTAGAGGGGGGTGCGCATTATACATGGGTGCGCACTGTACTCAAGAAAATACGGTAACTGTTTACAGAATATATTGAACTATTCTGTACCTGTGTCTACTGTAATTCTGAGAGTGCCGTGTTCCAGGAGAAGGAGAGCCTGTTCCTCCTTGACATCGGGCGGATCAGTGTGCTGTTCGTGCCATCAGGCAAGACAAAGAGGAAGGTTCCAGCATTATCTCCCCTTGTTGGGGAAGCAGTCCATCTCACACATACAAAGAATGGTAAGCATTACCATGGCAACAGTTGAGTAGAATGCTTTTTCTTGCATGGATTGGATTTCTTCATCAGAGTGTTAGAATTTACTGAACAAGATGTTTCTGTGATATTTGATAAAATTAAGAACAGACATGATGGTCGGTTGCCCCAATGATCATGAAGACATGTTAGATTACAGGGGTGGTAGGGTAGCCTAGTGGTTAGGGCGTTCACTAGTCACGCTGAAGGCCAGGATTCAATTCCCCACATGGGTACAATGTGTGAACCCCATTTCTGGTGTCCCCCATCGTGATATTGTTGGAACATTGCTAAAAGTGGCATAAAACCATATCAATCAATCAATCATCAATCATCAACCATCAATCATCAATCAATCAATCAATCAATAAAAAAATCAATCAATCAATAAAAAAATCAACCATTCAATCAACCATTCAATCAACCATTCAACCAACCATTCAATCAACCAACCATTCAATCAACCATTCAATCAATGTTAGATTAGTTTAAATAATATGTTTTGTTTAAGCATCTGTTAATATGAGTGTGCAGGCGAAATATTTCTCTCAGAAAACACAACACAAATTAAGAGAAACACATGAAAATCCGTTTTCACCTTTGTTCTCCTCTCTGACCTGCAGGTCTGTTCCTGGTGGGTCTGATGCGGTCTGGAGATCTGTTTGTGTGGCACAAAGACAGGGACAGCCTGAAGATGGTGACAGGACTCATGAACCATGTCTCCATAGACAAACTCAAACCAGGTAACATCCTACATCTGTCCTGCATTTCTGGTGGAAGTGCTGACTTTATTGTGAAACAATGTTTGATATCAGAAAAAAACTATTGGTGATATGACCCAGAGCCAGAACAAATAACATTGATGGAATCTCCTTCTATGAGACTGTGACTTCATTAGCTCAGACCTGATTTTAAATGTGCTCTAATATTCCACATGTACACATTCTTCCTTTGCTTTAGGGGGGCACGGGTGGCCCAGTTGTCTTAGGCGCCGCGATTCGCTGTGCAGAGTTGCATCACTTGGGCACTCCAGAAACCTATGATAGTGGGTTCAAATCCCGGTTCACCTCGATTATGTTTCTAGGTTTGTCTGCACCATACCCCTGCTTGTGGGTTTTCCGAAGTGGTAAACATCTGAGACCTGCATCACTTCGGGCTTTCCTCCCACATTAAGCTGACACGCCGCGATATAACTGGAATACTGCTAAAGGGGCGTTAAACCCAACTCACTCACTCACTCTCACTCCTTTGTGTCAGGCACCAGCAAGTTGGTTGTAGCCGATGACTGCTCCCGGGCCCTGGTTGTCGTCAACTGGTCTCAGATCTTCCTCTGGCAACAAGACCCAAACGATAGTTTCGGGTCCACTAAATCAGCTACACTGGCAGGGGCATGGACACGGGTGAACATCCCCAACAAGATTCCCCTGGCATCACCAGAGTGCCCGGAGACCAGTGTGGCCGCCATCTTCTACTCCAGCCAGGTGAGTGTGATGGAACCTGCCACACATCTTGCTGACCTACAAACATTGACACCATGATCTTAGGCTAAAAAAAATAATAGTCTTGGTTCTTAGGCACTGTCCACATTTAAAAGAAATTCTAATGCTTAAAAACAGTGAGATACACTATGACACACAGTTACTTCCCTTTACATGCGCACTGCTTTACTGCACAACTCATGTTATGATCATGGCCGCAATAGGAGTTTGTATGCTTGTTTATGTAGGGAAGCCCTTTCCCAGGTTGATGGTACACCACTGTTTATTTGGTTAAGTACTTGTTTGAACAAACTCCAAAAAAACACTGCCCGTCCGCTCGCACTATATTTTCGAAAGCCATTGCCTCAGAACCGATTCTTTCATTTTTTTAAGCCTCATAGAACAAGATATACAAAACTAAAGCTATCCAAGATTTGTGAATGGACATTTGAATAGCTTAATGCTACAGCTATTACTTACAATAAAAATTGATTGTATCGGAGATTTCTTCATAGATCTTTAGATAAGAAACACTTGTTTCTCCCCTATGTCCAGGAAAGTGTTACAATGTTCTAATGTTTATGGGTTCCTTCAACTGAGAGGAAATGTCTACAATGTGAATTCTTCAGTTTTTCTCCCTCATTAAGCTGACACACCATGCCACAACTAAAATGTTTTCAATTCTCTCACTGTAAATGCGACCATGACCAAACTGACTGGTGTGACTGTTTTCTATGAGTACACCTCTCTGTGTAGGTTCTTGGTGACCAAACTGACTGATGTGACTGTTTTCTATGAGTACACCTCTCTGTGTAGGTTCTTGGTGACCAAACTGACTGATGTGACTGTTTTCTATGAGTACACCTCTCTGTGTAGGTTCTTGGTGACCAAACTGACTGATGTGACTGTTTTCTATGAGTGCACCTCTCTGTGTAGGTTCTTGGTGACCAAACTGACTGATGTGACTGTTTTCTATGAGTACACCTCTCTGTGTAGGTTCTTGGTGACCAAACTGACTGATGTGACTGTTTTCTATGAGTACACCTCTCTGTGTAGGTTCTTGGTGACCAAACTGACTGGTGTGACTGTTTTCTATGAGTACACCTCTCTGTGTAGGTTCTTGGTGACCAAACTGACTGATGTGACTGTTTTCTATGAGTACACCTCTCTGTGTAGGTTCTTGGTGACCAAACTGACTGATGACTGTTTTCTATGAGTACACCACTCTGTGTAGGTTCTTGGTGACCAAACTGACTGATGTGACTGTTTTCTATGAGTACACCTCTCTGTGTAGGTTCTTGGTGACCAAACTTACTGGTGTGACTGTTTTCTATGAGTACACCTCTCTGTGTAGGTTCTTGGTGTCCAAACTGACTGGTGTAACTGTTTTCTATGAGTACACCTCTCTGTGTAGGTTCTTAGTGACCAAACTGACTGATGACTGTTTTCTATGAGTACACCTCTCTGTGTCGGTTCTTGGTGACCAAACTGACTGATGTGACTGTTTTCTATGAGTACACCTCTCTGTGTAGGTTCTTGGTGACCAAACTGGTTGATGTGACTGTTTTCTATGAGTACACCTCTCTGTGTAGGTTCTTGGTGACCAAACTGGTTGATGTGACTGTTTTATATGAGTACACCTCTCTGTGTAGGTTCTTGGTGACCAAACTGACTGGTGTGACTGTTTTCTTTGAGTACACCTCTCTGTGTAGGTTCTTGGTGACCAAACTTACTGATGTGACTGTTTTCTATGAGTACACCTCTCTGTGTAGGTTCTTGGTGACCAAACTGACTAATGTGACTGTTTTCTATGAGTACACCTCTCTGTGTAGGTTCTTGGTGACCAAACTGACTGGTGTGACTGTTTTCTATGAGTACACCTCTCTGTGTAGGTTCTTGGTGACCAAACTGACTGGTGTGACTGTTTTCTATGAGTACACCTCTCTGTGTAGGTTCTTGGTGACCAAACTCACTGGTGTGACTGTTTTCTTTGAGTACACCTCTCTGTGTAGGTTCTTGGTGACCAAACTGACTGATGACTGTTTTCTATGAGTACACCTCTCTGTGTAGGTTCTTGGTGACCAAACTGACTGATGTGACTGTTTTCTATGAGTGCACCTCTCTGTGTAGGTTCTTGGTGACCAAACTGACTGATGTGACTGTTTTCTATGAGTACACCTCTCTGTGTAGGTTCTTGGTGACCAAACTGACTGATGTGACTGTTTTCTATGAGTACACCTCTCTGTGTAGGTTCTTGGTGACCAAACTGACTGGTGTGACTGTTTTCTATGAGTACACCTCTCTGTGTAGGTTCTTGGTGACCAAACTGACTGATGTGACTGTTTTCTATGAGTACACCTCTCTGTGTAGGTTCTTGGTGACCAAACTGACTGATGACTGTTTTCTATGAGTACACCACTCTGTGTAGGTTCTTGGTGACCAAACTGACTGATGTGACTGTTTTCTATGAGTACACCTCTCTGTGTAGGTTCTTGGTGACCAAACTTACTGGTGTGACTGTTTTCTATGAGTACACCTCTCTGTGTAGGTTCTTGGTGTCCAAACTGACTGGTGTAACTGTTTTCTATGAGTACACCTCTCTGTGTAGGTTCTTAGTGACCAAACTGACTGATGACTGTTTTCTATGAGTACACCTCTCTGTGTCGGTTCTTGGTGACCAAACTGACTGATGTGACTGTTTTCTATGAGTACACCTCTCTGTGTAGGTTCTTGGTGACCAAACTGGTTGATGTGACTGTTTTCTATGAGTACACCTCTCTGTGTAGGTTCTTGGTGACCAAACTGGTTGATGTGACTGTTTTATATGAGTACACCTCTCTGTGTAGGTTCTTGGTGACCAAACTGACTGGTGTGACTGTTTTCTTTGAGTACACCTCTCTGTGTAGGTTCTTGGTGACCAAACTTACTGATGTGACTGTTTTCTATGAGTACACCTCTCTGTGTAGGTTCTTGGTGACCAAACTGACTAATGTGACTGTTTTCTATGAGTACACCTCTCTGTGTAGGTTCTTGGTGACCAAACTGACTGGTGTGACTGTTTTCTATGAGTACACCTCTCTGTGTAGGTTCTTGGTGACCAAACTGACTGGTGTGACTGTTTTCTATGAGTACACCTCTCTGTGTAGGTTCTTGGTGACCAAACTCACTGGTGTGACTGTTTTCTTTGAGTACACCTCTCTGTGTAGGTTCTTGGTGACCAAACTGACTGATGACTGTTTTCTATGAGTACACCTCTCTGTGTAGGTTCTTGGTGACCAAACTGACTGATGACTGTTTTCTATGAGTACACCTATCTGTGTAGGTTCTTGGTGACCAAACTGACTGATGTGACTGTTTTCTATGAGTACACCTCTCTGTGTAGGTTCTTGGTGACCAAACTGACTGATGTGACTGTTTTCTATGAGTACACCTCTCTGTGTAGGTTCTTGGTGACCAAACTGACTGGTGTGACTGTTTTCTATGAGTACACCTCTCTGTGTAGGTTCTTGGTGACCAAACTGACTGATGTGACTGTTTTCTATGAGTACACCTCTCTGTGTAGGTTCTTGGTGACCAAACTGACTGATGTGACTGTTTTCTATGAGTACACCTCTCTGTGTAGGTTCTTGGTGACCAAACTGACTGGTGTGACTGTTTTCTTTGAGTACACCTCTCTGTGTAGGTTCTTGGTGACCAAACTGACTGGTGTGACTGTTTTCTATGAGTACACCTCTCTGTGTAGGTTCTTGGTGACCAAACTGACTGATGTGACTGTTTTCTATGAGTACACCTCTCTGTGTAGGTTCTTGGTGACCAAACTGACTGGTGTGACTGTTTTCTATGAGTACACCTCTCTGTGTAGGTTCTTGGTGACCAAACTGACTGATGTGACTGTTTTCTATGAGTACACCTCTCTGTGTAGGTTCTTGGTGACCAAACTGGTTGATGTGACTGTTTTCTATGAGTACACCTCTCTGTGTAGGTTCTTGGTGACCAAACTGACTGATGAGACTGTTTTCTATGAGTACACCTATCTGTGTAGGTTCTTGGTGACCAAACTGACTGATGTGACTGTTTTCTATGAGTACACCTCTCTGTGTAGGTTCTTGGTGACCAAACTGACTGATGACTGTTTTCTTTGAGTACACCTCTCTGTGTAGGTTCTTGGTGAATGCTGTCAGTGCTCCCTGACCTTCAACAATGCAGACAAGCTGTGTGTGACGACAGTCTTATTGAGATTCTCAGAGTTTCACAACATATACAAGGACAGGTAAGATGTTATGCTAGCATCACATAGACTGACCAGGTCAGCCAGAAGCTATGATAGAGTTACTGTCATCTTTTAAAGTTTCAAGTAAGGCAAAAGAAATAAATCCTTTCTTTTTTAACTTATCTCTCCTCAACTGTATGCAATATTCCTTGTTGTAGAACAATGTAAAACAATCACCCAAACACACCCCCTGCCCACCTCACTCCCAGCATGCTCCTGTATTACTCGTCACTCTTTCCTTCATCACCCGTATTGGATGGACATGTTTTGCTACGCTCCCAAATTTCTATTGGAATAGACTTTGTTTGCCGTTTGTGTTTATTGATCAGTTTTGAAATTTGAGAAATTATGGATGCTGTGATTATCACTTGACTCCTGACCTCCTAAAGGCCTACTCTGCCAAAATAGGCAAAACGGCTCATCAACAACTTTGTGCCCCCCTTGCAAGCCTGCGACTTGTCACCTCCCCCAACCCTCAGGAACGCCTGCATGCAGTCATCTTGTGGGTGAGCCCTTGGGGTTACCACTCCCACTTTGTAGCCTCTGACACCCACGACATGGGCGGAGTGTCACACCTTGGTCATCACCCTGGTTATCAGTCTGCTCATGAGCCTGTGCGACGAGTTCTACGATGGCGCCTCTTCAGCAGTGACGTCACCATGACTACTGTCATCAGACACCAATGCTTATCGGCAAACTGTGCCTCACATTCCCTTGAATCTGTCGATTTTAAGTCTCTAGGCTTATCTCCAAGCCCGTCACCAGGCGCCACCTCCTCTTCAGGCGCTCCACCAGGTGCCGCATCATCAGGCGCCACAGTTACAATAGTTAGTGAGTGAGTATGGTTTTACGCTGCTTTTAGCAATATTCCAGCAATATCACAGCGGGGGACACTAGAAATGGGCTTCACACATTGTACCCATGTCGGGATTCGAACCCGGGTCTTCGGCTTGACGAGTGAACGCTTTAACCACTAGGCTACCCGACCGCCCCCAGTTACAATAGCAGCTCCAGGGTTACCATCCTTGGATATTGGGTTATCACCCTGTTTGTCAAACAGAATTGTAGGGTGACAGGTGCTTCAGAACCAAGGGTGTGTGTTTTAGCCTATAGGCTGAGTATTATCTTATTCGTTTATCAGTTGGCCATGTGTGAATTCACCATTACCATTCTGTCCACAGTGTTCCCAGTTATCACACAGAGTGGAGCTGCATTGAGTATCCTGTACAGAACATCAGCACTGGCTGTCAGCCAATCAACTCGAAGGGAGCCTATGTCACATGCTACTCACATGATGGTCAGGTGATAGCTGTAGCAGCCAATCAGAAGCGTCCATCTGACACAAGTCTGCTGTTCTTGTCACCACTGACTGAGACTGTCCTTGTGTCAGAAATGAAGGACTGTGGCATCCAGAACGCTGACCGGAAGTTTGGCAGGTACATGTTAGATGTCATGTTGCGGGTTGTGATAAAGGTTTTAAGGAAAATAATTAGTCATGTAGTGCTGCATACATACGTAGTAATAAAAATAGTCTGCTTCGGTGGGCATAGCTTAATTTTTTACATTCATTAAGAAATGAATGCAATAACACGTGACCATTTCAGCTAATCAGAATGCAGGAATTACAATGAACACAACGAAAATCTGTTACTTGTTAAAGAATCTGGCTAACTGATTGATAAAGCCATACAAATTGACTGGCTGGCCTGTATGGATGATACACTTGCTTATCATGTCTTAATAATTCTCGTTGCACTTTGAGTCACCATGGTTACCATACTGAAAGTCCCTTGGTGGTCCTGAGATAGATTTAATTGTCACAGGCAAATATTTCATATAATTATGTCTTTGTAAGTTGTCAACTAGTAATGACAAATCCAATACATTTGTCACTTGTTGGATATACAGGACTTAAAGCTGAACGTTGTTCATATGTAGTAAATATTGACTCATCCTGATACATATTGATCGATGTAAAGATCCGGGGTAGAATAGGTCTTCAGCATCCCATGCTTGCCTTAAAAGTTGACTATCCTGTCATAAGAGGCAACTAACAGGATCGAGTGGTCAGGCTCGCTGACTTGGTTGATGCATATCATCATATCCCAATTGCACGGGTCGATGCTCATGATGTCAATCACTTTATTGTCTGGTCCAGACTCGATTATTTACAGACTGCTGTCATATAGCTGTAATATTGCTGAGTGCGGCGTTAAACAACAAACAAACATATTGATACATACTGATACATAATGACTCGTACTGCTACATACTGGTACATAATCATATATAATGATACATATTGTTACATAGTGATACATTTTAATACATACTGATACATGATACAATTTCAGTTGCTACTGGGTGTCCTCGATGTCCTGGACCTGTGACAATCTGTTTCTGGCATGTATTCTACGGAACGGTTCCATTTGTTTGGTGTCCCGGCTTGGGGAGCCAATCAGCATTCAGACGTCGGGCTGCTCTATTGACCTTGGTCCATCTCGCTTCATCCCAATACACCCTGTCATAAGAGTTCAGTAAGTGCTTTCTTGAAATGAGAGAAAAGATATTTACAATTTTTGATTGTTTTTGTGTTTTTGTTGATGAATAATATCTGAAAATTGTAAAGATCAAATCTGTTTACAATATGTCCAGTCTTGTGTTCTCAGTGTTCTTTTCTCTTTTAATCTTTTCGTGTATACAGGGCTGTTGTGACCTAGACTGTATTCAAACTCAGAATGCTCTTACTGAAGACCAAGAAAGTACTCAAGCTTCTTCTTGTAGAAACGGCCTCCATGGTCTTGTGGTAGAGCGTCCGCCCAGAGAGCGGAAGGTCCAGGGTTTGATCCCCGGCCGCGTCATACCAAAAGACGTTAAAAGATGGTACTTCTTGTTACCCTGTCTGGCGCTCGGCATTAGGGGCTAAAACAAGGACTGGACGGCTTGGAGTCAGTATACTGTGTCTGAGTGGGGTATTCATGTTAAACAGCGGCATGGTATCTCAGTGGGCTAGCACTATAAATCGGCATCAGTCCGGACTACTACAAACAGCCACACACACACACACACACACACACACACACAAACACAAACACACACACACACACACACACACACATACACACATTCATGCACGTCGCTATATAAGTGCAATAATCTTGGACGCGACGTTAAACCCAATTTTACCTCGCCTCACCTCTTCTTGTAGACTTAGACTGTAAATAGGTGCACAAGGCTTTTGTTGTGGACCTAGATTTATTCAGGCCCCAGATTGAGGGGACAGTCCACCTTTGGCATGTTGAGTTTCGGAGATATGAATACAGGTAAGAATGCTTCTGTTAATATATTATACAATATGTTATGGTGTGGTTATTTCTTAAAAATCTTCTGTTTCAGACAAGAAGGTGAAACTGAGCCAGTCTTGGATGAACACGGAGACGACCCCTTACAGCAGATATTCTCCGTGTCCACACACCCCTCCCTTCCAATCATCCTCTTCTCCGATGGCTACATGGTGACCGTGGTCCAACTGCCATGTGACACAAGATGCATGGCCTTCATGCGCGACCTTGTCTTTGAGTCCTCAAAACATCTTAAGTGGATACAGGACCAAGAAGGAATTGATATGACTCTAGCAAGTCCATACAACTTGCCGGTGGACAGAGCCGAACACGACAGAATGGTGAATCGGAAGAGGGAGAGAATGTTAGCAGAGTCAAGATCAAGACCTCAAAGGTTGAAAAATTTACGGTACAGTTTTGAAGATTTGACAGGATCTTTAAATGACACTCAGGACAGCGAAGTGAGTGCTGTGTTGGACGACGGCTTCGGTCAGTTTGGTGCTATGCAGAACCTCAGCTCAGGGAAGATTATGTTTGGTGAGCCGGAGATGATGATGGCGACTGTGGACTCTTCCTATCTCAGCATGGCGGAACAGGAGGCTGTAGCTAAACGGATGCAGGCAGCAAAAGTTGCTCTTTTCATGTCATGGAAGCTGGCAGCATCACACAGTGACATTTGGACATCTGATCTGGACCGTGTAGCTAAGTCGATCGCACAGAACATGGTCAAGATGTTTTCCCTGATCCTGAACTGTCCGCCGGTAAGTGAAATGATAAATCCGTCTGTCCAGTCTCCAGCCATCCAGAACAGCGGCTTGTTCCAGGTGATGACGATGTATCGGCAGATGCTGGACCTGTTGCAGTTTGACGTGCTTCACCAGCACCTGACTCCGGTCTCACTCCAGCTCATGCACCATACGGCCAAGCTTGTCCTGGACAGCCCAGGTCTAGACCAGCTCGATCCTAGACTGAAGACGTTGTCTGGATGTTACACACTGCTTAGGTTCTCGGAGAAGACGTTCAACAAGACCTATGTGTGGCTTCCCAAGTCGGTGTCCTCCAAGCCCTTCACTCCGCGGTCAGGGCTGGGAGGGGCTGATCAGTACCAGCAGGGGAGGATTGATGGGGTGGACAACACGGCAGCATCCCAGCTGCTGTCCAAGAGGTGAGGCCCTTGGGTTCTATCGTTGTTTACAGAGCCACTTCACAATTTTACAATGTGAAGGAAAATCATGTACAGTAAACTATGTTTATAACGAACTGACAGATATAATGAATTTTTTTTTGGTGGGGAGGTGGGGGGGTGGGGTGGGGAGGGCCGACCATTTACTCTATATATATGCTTTTATGAAAATGAACTGTGGGGCAGTCAGGTAGCCTAGTGGTTAAAGTGTTTGCTAGTCATGCCGAAGAGCCGGGTTCGATTCCCAACATAGATACAATGTGTGAAGCCCATATTTGTTGGTCCCCATTGTGATATTGCTGGAATATTGCTAAAAGCAGCATAAGACCATACTCACTCACTCACTATAACGAACTGTGGTTATTATGAACTAAACGTAGTGGTCCCTTTGAGTTCGTAGTGCCATAGTTTACTGTATTTGTAATTTGAAAAGGTTTGAAATGTTCAGCATTGTGACGACTGTTTTTGTTGCCATGGTTAGCGATGTATCACTGTCAGCGTCCAAGTTGCTGCACATTAGATTAACATTTCCTCATTCAGCATCGTGTTTTGGCTTGTCATTCAGTACTGGTGTCTAGTGACTTGCTGTGTATTGTTGTTCCAGACTTTCGGCAACCTGGATGATGCTGTACAAGAACCTGGTGCACTTCCAGACCCACCAGTGTCAGAGTGAGGCTGAATACAGACAGGCCCAGAACCTCATGTGTCAGATCCAGGAGACCATGCAGCATATGGAGACACCCATACCCCAGCAGGTGTCTCCCAGGATCAGCCATGGTGAGTCTTACATCCATACAGCAGTAGATGTCTCCCAGGATCAGCCATGGTGAGTCTTACATCCATACAGCAGTAGCTGTCTCCCAGGATAAGCCATGGTGAGTCTTACATCCATACAACACTAGCTGTCTCCCAGGATCAGCCATGGTGAGTCTTACATCCATACAGCAGTAGCTGTCTCCCAGGATAAGCCATGGTGAGTCTTACATCCATACAACACTAGCTGTCTCCCAGGATCAGCCATGGTGAGTCTGACAATTAAACCTGAAAGTTGTTCTTGGGTGAGCTGAAGCTACATCCAAATGGGTATCCTCCTGACAGCACTCAGAGCTCCGGCATATGAATTCCAGCCAAGTTATTGAACAAGAGGCTTGAAACTAGTGTGTTCCTTGATCCTGTAATGCAGTTGATGTTGTTCTGTTATGCTGGTGTTGTATTGTTGCAGGTGACAGACACAGCCTTGATGGCCACCACACACAGGCTGTGAATGCATGGAGCAAGCAGCTCAAGGCTATTGGAGGTGAGTTAGCCTACATAGACTATCTAGATAGCCTACATAGACTATCCGACCCGTGAAGATCCAGGATAGAATAGATCTTCAGCAACCCATGCTTGCCGTAAAAGGCGACTATGCTTGTCGTTTGAGGCGACTAACGGGATCGGGTGGTCAGGCTCGCTGACTTGGTTGATGCATGTCATTGATCCCAATTGCGTGGATCGATGCTCATGATATTAATCACTGGATTGTCTTGTCCAGACTCGATTATTTACAGACTGCCATCATATAGCTGGAATATTGCTGAGTGCGGCGTTAAACAACAAACCAACCAACCAACATAGACTATCCAACTCAACTGTCTTTATTTGATCTCAAACATGGTTTATTCGCTTGTATTTGTCAGGTTGGTGGCTAGTACTTGATGCTTAGTTTTAAAACAAGGTTGTGATTTCTATTCATAATCAAGAAAAAATATTTGTAAGCTTTAGAATTTGAGAAAAAGTTAATAATAAAATTCCATTTCATCATTGTCAATGTTTTATTGGCAAGATAAGGTTCACAAGCTGTTTGCAATAGGCAGGCATTGTTGGAGCTGTTGCATCAGTGAAGATAGATTAGACTTACGGATTCAACTGTGATGTTCTTTCAATGTGATCGGTACAGATGCTAGTACCTTTATCAAGCTATTCACAGTTTGCTTGATAAAAATCTGTATCGAAACATCGCATTGACAGCATAAAGAAGTTAACTCTATCATAGAGAATACCCTTGGGACCAAGTCCTTTAGTGGGTATAGATGTGTAATTAAAATGATGAAGTTTCAAGTGGATGTTGATATGCTCCTGTTGTTCAGCCAAGGAGGACAGTAACAAGGCCGCCCGACTGTTACACTCCCTGCTGTACACGTACCTCATACGAGGGGAACTGCTCACTGCCGTCGACTTTGTGGACAGCCTCATTCTGAGAGCCAACGTCCCAGTAGGGGTGGACCCCGAGCACTTGAACAGGACAACATCCTCGGACAGTCGACTACCCCTGATGACCATAGTGGCCAGTACTCTCAAGACACTGGTAGGTCAGAGATGTAGTTATTGTTGTGTAGGGGAGATAACTCTGGACGTCATAGTGGCGTGAAGACACTGGTAGGTCAGAGATGAAGTTATTGTTTTGTAGGGGAGATAACTCTGGGTGTCATAGTGCGTGAAGACACTGGTAGGTCAGAGATGAAGTTATTGTTTTGTAGGAGAGATAACTCTGGACGTCATAGTGGCTTGAAGACACTGGTAGGTCAGAGATGTAGTTATTGTTGTGTAGGGGAGATAACTCTGGGCGTCATAGTGCGTGAAGATACTGGTAGGTCAGAGATGTAGCTATTGTTGTGTAGGGGAGACAACTCTGGGCAGCATACTGGCCAGTACACTCAAGACACTGGTGGGTCAGATATGTAGTTATTGTTGTGTAAGGGAGATAACTCTGGGCTGCATATGTGATATGACCATGATGCTTACGTCTTCACTCACTCACACAAAGCACAAGTGTTAGGATTATTTCACCACAGCAGTTTTTGACATGGTTCTGATGATTGAAAATACAACTAATACCAAGAGTAGGAAACTATTAAATGAGTGTGTGTCATACTAATATTGTAAAAAGAGTGTCAAAATCAAATTCCAAAATCAGAAAGTTACTCACAAATGTTATGATCTCTAGTCATTTGTAGTCACTCTAAGTTTCCCCATGTGTACATTAGGCTCGTGTTTTTCCTCACGATGCTTTTGAAATAGGTTTATGTGCTTTAACCTATAGTTTGAGGTGTGGATGGACTGTTAGAATCGTACATTGGTTAGTATATTTTTGGGAAGATTTCCATGTTTGGATGAAAGAATAAAGAACTGTTTTCTTACTTTGCAGGCATTTGACAGCCCGGACATGGTTCCTTGTATCCGGGACAAGAGTATCCGACAGCTTGTTCAGACCATGGCACGATTCATGGCAGCGTACTTCTCCAACCAGACAGTCTACGTCTTCCCTCCCCACAACCCACAACCTCTCCCCGCCATCCACTTCGAAGCAGCTGTTGTCAGTATGTACACACAACCATTATAGTGTTTGTTAGGCTTGTTTGTTTGACTTGCCCTTACCTCTTGTCATGCAGTTTGACTTATTGTTGTGCAGTTTAATATGTTGTCATGCAGTTAACTTGTTGTCATGCAATTTAACCTAATGTGCATTTTAATATATTGTCATGCAGTTTCACCTATTTTTGTGCAGTTTAATCTCATGTCATACAGTTCAACTTATTGTCATGTAGTTTAACCTGATGCACCTATTGTGCAGTTTAAGCTATTGTCGTGCAGTTTAAGCTATTGTCATGTGGTTTCACCTATTGTCGTGCAGTTTCACCAATTGTCTTACAGTTTAGCCTATTTCCATTTTTGTATGCACAATTACTTTTTGTGGTGAACATGTAAATTTGCTCAAAGTGGAATAAAGATGGAATCTGCATACACTCGTAATTTCTGTCACAGTCTGTCACTGGAAATCGAGTGGTCAAAATGGTTGAAAAAAAAGGATGTCCCCTTGTGATGATAAAATGTACATTTTAGGCTCTATGTACTTATTAGGGTTATCTAATAAACTCAAAGTTGTGATATCTTGTTTTACCAATTATTTTACATATTATAAGAGAAACTTGTTCATGCGAGATCCAACATGTGACTGGTATATATAATACATCAAACTTTTCAGGTATAAACCCAAATGGGAGATTATATAAAGCCTAAAATATACATTATTTAGAGCCTAAGTTATAAAAAGAGCCTAAAGTATATATGTTGAGCCTAAAATGTACTTTTTATGGAGCCAAAAATGTACCTTATATGAAGCCTAGAGTATACATTATTTAGAGCCTAAACTGTACATGCTATAGAGACAAAAGTGTACTGTAAATAAACCAATAATGTTCAGTACATATATCCTAAAGTGTACAGTAAGTAGAACCCTCACAATAATCTTATCAATTATCACGAAAATGTAGAGTGTATCAGATAAGCCTAAATCATAAGTAGATAAAGCCCTTACAATATTCATATCAATTGTATGTAAAGTATAATAGATAAGCTTAAGATGCACAACAAATAACACCAAATTAATTGCCAATTGTTTTTCAGACAATCGGATCATTCCTCAGTACCACGAAGACATCACGGGCGTGATCCGACAGCACAAGCTGGGCAGTGTGTGGACCGTGGAACGCACTCTGGAGTATCTACTGCTCAGTGGCCTGGCTTGTGAGGCCACGTGGTTCGCTGACAAGATGGGTGACTGGAAGGCTGCTTTCCTGATGGCTGTGGGTTGTGTTCAGCACCATTTCACAGCCCCCAAAGTCTATGAGAAGTAAGTACATAGTACATACGGTCAAGTCCCGTTAATCCAACATGGTTGGTTGCATATGATTATGTTGGATTAATGAGGATGTCGGATAAACAAAATTTAGTTGTATCAACATTTGTGATCGAAAATTGGACAACTACTAGGTAGATAACGATACAAACATGTGTAATTAAAAAATGAAAAACGAAATATTCATATTGTTATGTTTTATTGTTAGCGGAATATGTTTTCTGGTCATGCAACCTCTTAAGCTTAACACAATACAACAGTTTCGGACTGTAAGACTGATTCAAAAGACTTTAAAAAAAGCATAGTTTGGAATGGAAGTCGCCAGTTTGAAACTAGTGCCGCAAAGATTAAGAAAGCTGCTTTCTTAGTGGCTAATGTCGACTTCCTGTTAGTCATTTCATTGGTCAGTCAAAGTTCGCAAAAGGTTGTTCAGACTTGACCTGTAATGGGATGTTCTAAGCGTAGCGAGAACTTGTATCTGATTTTAATGAGATTGAGGTAATCTAAGCATGTGTACAAGCGGGCAGATGACAACTGAGTGTGCTGATCACTGTGTCGGATTAACGAGACTGTCGGTAATTCATTGCAAATTAGGTGTGTCAGCGTCGGAGTGCGAGACTGTCGGATTAACTGGGTGTAAATAGCACTGATTTAATTGGTTCCCATCATTTGTTCCGGATAAAGCCGATTGTCAGATTAACGAGTGTCAGATTAACAAGACTTGACTGTACATGCATTTCTACTTGAATTGATGACATACATCTCAAATATGCACAATTATGTGTGAGCTAGGTGACTTTTACGCTGCTATTATCAATATTCCTGCCATGTCAATATCAAGGGGGATATAAAGGATGGGATCATACATCGAACCATGTGTGGAATCGAACCCAGAACTCCTGTGTGATGAGCAAATATTCTAATCAGTAGGCTATCCCACAATTTAGGCACAATGTTAAAGATTGATTCTATTCTAATTGTGGGAGGATGATATGAACAAAAGGATAGTTTGACATTGTGAATCCTTTGTATTTGATGGGCATATATAATTTCATGAATATTTTCTATATAGAAAGAGGAAACCGCTGACACTTCCTGATTCCCTGTTGCCTGGCAACATATTACAGAGGAAGCTTGGCATGCTTCTGGGAGAGACGTCAAGTGAGGCACTGAGCAAGTCTCGACAGCTTACCCAAGGTATGTCCATTTGCAGCTATCAACGAGTGGACCAATGTTTGGGATGACAGATATTTGGGTTAACACTGCAGGGATGACGGATTGATGTGAATGGACCTGTTTTTTCCAGACTACATTGCTATTGATGAGGACACGAACATGAAAGTCCTGACGAAGACCCTGGAGGATATCCTGACAGGTGCCATGGTTGGGAGGGTTGATGTGTTGCCAGGGTTACTGAAGACTCTGGTAGAGAAACTGAAGACTGTTGTATCAGAGTTGCCTCCCCTCGTCCCAAAGGATTTCTACCTACCTGCCCCTCCCCTGTACTGCCCCCAACCTTCAGCTACAAGCCAGGTGAGTCTTTACTGAAGACTGTTGTGTCAGAGTTGCCTCCCCTTGTCCCCAAGGACCTTTACCCCTTCGCTACCCTCTACTGCCCCAAGCCTTCAGCTACAAGCCAGGTGAGTCTTTACTGAAGACTGTTGTGTCAGAGTTGCCTCCCCTTGCCCCAAGGATTTCTACCCCTTCGCTTCCCCTCTACTGACCCCAGCCTTCAGCTACAAGCAAAGTGGGTCTTTACTGAAGACTGTTGTGTCAGAGTTGCCTCCCCTTGTCCCCAAGGACTTCTACCGCTTTACCCCAGTTGCAGGCCAGATCTCTACCCTGTCCCTTTCATTGGATCTCTTTGGCCCAGTCGTCTAAGGCACCACGATTTGCTGTGCAGAGTTGCGTCCCTTGGGCACGCCAGAAACCTATGATTGTGGGTTCGAATCCCGGTTCGCCCTGATTATGTTTCTAGGTTTGTCAGCACCATACCCGTGCTCGTCACCTGCATCACTTCGGGCTTTCCCCCCACATTAAGCTGACATGCAGCGATATAACTGGAATACTGTTAAAAGCGGCGTTGAACCCAACTCACTCACTCATTGCATCTCCTGAGCCACTGTCACTCTTGCATAGACTTATGACAATTGTAGCTAAGACCACTGTGGACATACTATAGTTTGTTGTGGCAGTAATATGTTGTGGAATCACCCTAATTCCTCTTCTGTCCTTCAAACTTGTGCATGTACATATTCCATGAATATTTTTGTTATAGTCTGTGCAATAAGTGTATAAAGTCCATATTTATGCAACAGTACAGTATGAAAATTGCTCACTTATTAGTCACAGTCATGGTCCCATTTCACAAACCAATCACAGCACTACAAGACAAACCGACAACATATTTGTGTCGCAATGAGACTGATATTTTTGAGATTGGAGAGCTCTGTATTAGTTGTAAGAGATACAGCTGGTATATCTGACAGAGTGGACAAGGCTCTCTAGTCACACTGTGAAGCAAACCCAGACTCACAAACATTTGATTTGTTTGATAAGACAAATGCTTGTGAGTCACAATGACCCAGATGGTTAAAAGGCATGGGAAGCCATGACATGTCATCAACCCCTCCGTGGTCTAGTGGTAGAGCGGCTGCCCGGAGAGCGGAAGGTCCAGGGTTCGATCCCTGGCAGCGTCATACCAAAAGACGTTAAATGATGGTACTCGTTACCCTGTCTGTCGCTGTGCATTAAGGGCTAAAACAAGGACTGGTCAGCTTGGAGTCAGTATACTATGTCTGAGTGGCTATTCATGTTAAACTGTGGCATGGTATCTCAGTGAGATAGGATTTTAAATCGGCATCAGTCCGGACTAGTACAAGCAGCCACACACACATACACGTACATGCACGTCGCTATATAAGTGCAATAATCTTGGACACGACGTTATACCCCATTTCACCTCACCTCGCCTCATCAACCAGAGCTGCTTTTACTCCACAAACGTTGCAATTACATCACAAATGCAGTCTGGATTGCAAATTTCTTAACGATGTCATATTTTGAGAGTCATGATGTCCCAGATGTTTTTGAGCCAGGGAACACTGTTGTATGTGACGATGGTGCTGTTTGCTGATAGAGCCTGGGAACGCCCACTGTTGTATGTCATGATTCTGCTGTTTGCTAAAGATGTTGTTGCCCACAGGAATCGGTGAGATCCGCGGTAGGGATGGAGATGCAGCTGCGGAGGAAGGCGGCATCTCTGATCCAGCTGATGCTGAGTTTCCTGCAGGCCAGCCACCTCTCCCTGCACGTCACGCACTGGTATGTGACCCGACTCCTTCAGGCACAGCACAAGGCCACACAGTTCAAGGTCAGTGTGGGATCAGCGTTGATAAGGTCTACTGATCAGAAAGAACACTTATGTATGTTTTTGTGCTAGGGAATTCCCAGGGGTTTCCCCAGGAATGTAGAAGTAGTCCATCAGTGTTTATGTCATTTCAAGAACACGGTCTCATGAAAAACGTATGAACGTCAAATTGTGTCGCGGTGATGTGACCGACCTCTCTTCCAATTGAGAGCCGTATATCGTGTAAACTTCAAATTAAATAATTATTTTGATACTTCATATAATTTGGATTTTATTATTAAGTTGCGACTTTTACGCATAGCAGGATCCGAAGATGGTTTGACTATCAGACTTGACCTGATTATGATCCTTGGTCTGTCAGGACCATACAGTGATAGTGTTGTCCACAGACTGTAATGTACTTTCCTTCAGTCTGACATGGTATAACTGAAATACAGTTTAAGGCGTAGCTTATCCCACGCATATGAATACAAGCTCCAGGCATAGATGTGATCTAAGGTTGACTATCTCAGGCCAACACTGAAGGACCCTGTACAGAGCTGCCGAAGTTCCTCAGTGGACTGATGGACCACTTGGCGTCAGACTTGAACTTGGCAGAACATGAGGATGTGGAATCCGTGCAGCTGGTGCTGTCAGCTTTCCGTGACGTCTGCTGTGTGGTGTGGATGCTCCACGCCCGAGACAAACTCTCCCTGTGTCTGCGGCAGAGACAGAAGTACCTTGACCAGCTCAGCTTCCACAGACAGGACAAGGTCAGTGGGAAGAGGGCATTGTCTTATTTTCGTACAAGCTGATTTTGTTTGCTTTTTACCCTAAAGGAATCACTAGTTTATTGACACCAAAAGTTGTCTGGTGTAAGCTCATCTTGTTTTGTAAGAGACAAAGGTAGCAGGACCAGTTGTGCTTCCATGAAGGTTGGAAAGAGGAAGACTTAATAACTGTTGTTTGTTCATACGAGGTCATATGAAGTTTTATGTCCAAGAGTAACAATGAGCAAATTGTTCACTGAAATCCAAAGATGGTCTGATGTAAGCACTACTTGTGTGGTAAGGTGTAGGCAAAAGTGCATAACAATAATTGCAATTTGGAATAAATGTAATATACTGCTAAATACTATTAAAGAGAATACACTTTGTATGTCTTTTAATTAATGTTGTGTAAACAAACAAGCTAGAATTGATGAAAATTATATTATTGCCATTCAATTTAAAAAATAGGGCAGTGAAAGTGAATTTATTTTAAAATTGATGAAATGAAGAAAACATAAGCTGGATTATCTCTGTGTATTCATGCTGAGAAAAACATGTTTCCAAAAAACAAACAAACAGTGATGTCATAAAATTAGTAAAGATTATTGATGTGAATACTTCTCAACAGTATCATTTGGAAAATTATGGAATTGATTTCATGAGAAATACTAATATATGCGTGACAATCTCACTGTTTGCAAACATGACATCTGCTTGTAGGAGAACGGGTCTGAGCGATGGCTACAGGAGTGTTTCACCAACCTCCAGTGGGCTGTCCACCTTCTGGCGTTCAGCCGCTTCTTGCCAGACGAGGGATGTGTGTACAAGGTCGTCCTCTCTCTCCTGCTGGAGCTACCCCCGTCTGAAGACACAGCAGACATCTTGGCGGAGTATTTCTACGACATGGAGAACCTCGACGCAGAGGTCCAGGAGAAGGTGGACAAGATCCTACACGAGTGGCAGACGGTCATTGTCCAGCCTGAGGATGATGGGAGGTCAGCTAAAGTAGATGCTGATGTAGACGATGATGATGATCCAACAGGCGGACGGAAATCAGTCACATTCTTCAAAGCATCTCCTCGTGGAAAGTCGCTGTCTGTTTATTTTCACAAGCAGTGTCAAGTTGCTGGAAAAGTTTTGAAGAAAAGGAGAATCTGTTTCGGGAATTATGACGAATTTGTTTTTGCAAATTCATCAAAAGACCCTCCAGATCTCAATATTGGTTCCAGGCCATATGAGACGAAGAGATATTTCGTTGAATTTATGGACACTTTCTGTTCTGTCAGTTTTGGCCTTCTGATGGAATCAGAATTAGAGAGACATATTCAAAAGAGATACCCTGTATTATTGCCGTGGGCGGAAGTTATCATGAACAGGGAAATGACAACTTTTCTTGAAAGATCATCTCACGGAAACAGAAAACATTCTCTAGTTGTACTGACACCAAGAGATGGGTCTGTTGAGACTCTGCCCAGAGGGAAGGACAGTTCAGTTTTCCGGAGACAGGGTTCTGTGGGAGACAGCGACCATATGCGGCTGATGAAAGCTAAGGGTCTCTTCCGAAGTAAGAGTGTGGTTGAAATGGGATCTTCAGATAAACCTTCTTCTCCAGTTCGGAGGTATGAAAGTGAGAATGGCATTAATGAGTTGGTAGG